ATGTGTGTCGTCACCGTCAAATGTTCTGGCCGTTTTGTTCAAATTTGTTTTGGCCGGTCGTCTATTCTGTCTCCAGCCTTCTACTTATCGTTTTTCATTTTGTACACGAACATCTCATGACTGCCTAACTTTACTTTTGGCCCTGGCGATCAAGCCATGGGTGAAGATTCATTTGTTGGCTACGGCCTGGGCATCATGATAATATAATTTGGTAACTTTGTACAGCATTCCCGTTTTTCTTTATTTTTGTCCATTTCATTGTTTCCTCTATTCGTGCATTGTCACGAGGTTTCTTTAAAAATGACATTAATATATTTTAAATATTTTAATATGATTATTCTATCTGATATCTTGGCATATTTGCTCATTGACTATTGTTAAATTATGATAAAATATCATTTTCGTCCATTCTCTCATTATTTTTATTATGTTGAGTGTAATAAAACCTCACATGTGTTGGACCAATCTAGACGTGCTTAGCAGTCTCAAGGCTCGGTATAAAAGGCCTAGATCCATATTGACCGATGTCATGTTCTTAGTTTGAGCATTATTGCAATGATAACCATTTTATTTTATTCTATATTGGAAAGTACGATCCTGTCCCTTGGTCAAATCTAACATAGTCAATACAGTAGTGTCAGAGATTATTTTTTCCCTCATGTCCCTTTTATTTTATTTGTCCTTTAGCTCATTTAATAATTTGTAATAATTTTAACTATGAGTTGAAATATGTTGTATAAAAGAATTTGTAATTTTATTTTATTTTGAACATTTGTAACTGACATTTATTTTATTGTACTTTGGGCATTATTATTTTAGTTAAACTCAGTATATAAAATAGAACATCATCGCCTATACTACTTGTCTTCCAGTTTTTAATTCCTTTTCCCCTGGAGTTAAGGTAAAAACTTAGTAAATTAAAACAACAAATGTGTCAGTTATATTTAAAATTCCACTATGCTCCGGTCTGGTAGAGCCTCGGCTAGTGGTGAATCCAACTTCGTTTGGGTTTATGTGCTTCATCGGTGATAACCTCACGGTTAGTTATCGGTGAACGTCACAATATATAAGTGTCAGACCTTCCGGAACACTTTCAAAAGTTATGTTGAAAAAGTTCTACTTTCTGAATGCATTTTTTATATTTGAAGCCCCCCCGTATATAGTGAAATAGTCCGATTTCAAAAAAAAGTATGTCCAATGAAAGATGTATATAAATACTACTTCTCATGAAAAAATTGTGTTGATCTATACACTTTTCAATAAGTTATAGCATTATAAAGTTAAAAATTTAAAAAAAAAAATCGAGAATTTTCACACAAAAATAGCATTCGATAGCCATTTTCATCATGAAGACAAAATAAAGTCCAAACATTTTTCTTTTTAATATTAAAGTATATTACATAAGCTTTAATTTAAGATATATATAAAAGTATCAGTATATCCGGAACACTTTCAAAAATTAAGTTGAAAAAGTTCTACTTTCTCTATGCATTTTTATGTTTTGAACTCCCCAGTATTAAGGGAAATGGTCCGATTTAAAAAACAAGTATGTAAAATGAAAGAAGTATATAAATATTATTTCTAATAAAAAAATTGTATTGATCCATACATTTTTCAAAAAGTTATAACATTTTAAAGTTAAAAATGTAAAATATAAAATCGAGAATTTAACACAAAAATAGCATACGGTAGCCATTTTCACCATGAAGACAAAATAAAGTTCGAAATTTTTTTTTCCATAATTGCTCGGATTTATTATTAAATAAGTGAACTTTTCAACACTCATATATTAGTTTCACACGTATGTTGTGTGTTTGTTGTTTGTAACTTTCCACGCGCCACATGTTATCGCGTATCCCGTCGTCTATGGCCGTGAGACTAGAATATATATATATACGTATATGTTAATATTCATATATATATTCCTACTACCGCCGTATATGCCTCACGTATAAAAATAATAATAATATGCCCGTACTACTGTTATTTTTAATAAGCTAAATTTACACTCTAGTTATACAATTATTAAAAGATTTTTATACTGAAGTCAAGTTTAACCTACATTAATTAATTTAAGAATTCTCTAAACACACTTACACATTAATTCACAACATATATCACTGGTTTTTGCAGGCGAACCCTCCCATAATCAGTGACTCTATTTACACGGCATTACACAACACAGTTTGATAGGTATTAAGTGCTTTTAGCCAGTTCAGGTACGCACTATAATATTTAGCGCCCCTTAACAAAATTTTAACCATAAACATACATATCAAGCTATTTATGTAAAAAAAATATAAATTAAAAAAACTAAAAAAACGCACTTTTAAAGCACATCGAACTAAAAAGTTAAAAAAAATTTTTAAATAAGCTTAAAACAATAATGAACGAAAAATACTAGTAATATTGCGAAAAAAATCGTCGGGCGCTCAATTTACGAAAAATATGGCACAAAGCACCCACGCTTTTATCACAATAATTCTAGTTTTTTCGTACATTATTGTTTTAAGCTTATTTTAAAATTTATTTTTAACTTTTTAGTTCGATGTGCTTTAAAAGCGTTTTTTAGCTTCGATGCGAAGTTGAGAAGATATTAATTTTACCATGATTTGTTTATTTTTTTTTTTTTGGGTCTGTCACTACTTTTCTCAGCTCTCACTGGACCGATTTCTTTCAACAATACGTCAAATTATATCTAGTTGAAGATATTACCCTTAAAAATAGAAAAATTTTTCCTCGTTCCCCGCAAATGGGGGTAATTTCCAAAAAAATTACAAATTTAAAAATCGGTAAATTTTGCCATTTTTTTTCACTTTTTTTCTTAAAACTTCCATAACTTTTTCAAAAATCAACATAATTTTTTTTATACTAAAACCTTAGGTAATTTCCTTTCATTTGATATCATTTTTTTTGAAATTCTAACACTTATTCTGCTCACAGGAAGAATTTAAAATAGCAACTTTTTTACAAATACTAACTTTTTCAACTTAACTTTTGAAAATGTTCCGGAATTACTGCGTCCTTTAAACATATGTCAAATTAAAGCTTATGTCATGTACTATAAAATTTAAAAAAAAAAATTTTTTCCGATGACTATGCGCAAATGGCTACCATATTCAAAAATATGCTATTTTTGTGTTAAAATTTTGGGGTTTGTATTTTATTTTATTTTAAAATATCTTATAAGGGCAATACACTGACTTTCATGAATATTTTATAATTTAATTGACATAGAATAAAGTTCATAAGACATAAGAAATTAAACTTATTTAAATTTCTTTGCTTTTTTAAAGTCGAAAAAGTAACTTTTAAATTTGACTTAGTTTGAATAGCTAATTTTATCGTGCGACGAACAGTTGCCGAATCGGTAACACTTGTGTCTTTCACGCATAGGGTACGAGGTTCAAATCTGTCAGTACCAATTAATATTTTGCTTTTTTTTTTGAGTTAGAATAGAATTTTCAAATCATTTGATATTTATCTCATTTAGATTCAATAACTTCAATAAATATAAAGGATCTTATCACTATAGTCTCCCCTCGTGAGAAGAAATTTATATTCATGTTAATATTATTTTACTATGTGGTTCTTTTTGTGGCTACGATTTATTTTGCCAACCCTCACTAGAAGTACTATTTCAATGATACGTCAAATGATTACAATTCGTATTTAGTTAAAGTTATTACTCTTAAAAATCAAAAAAATATTCCTTATTCAAATAAAAAGTGGCTTAACTAGCTTTTTCAATACAAACAATTAAAATTATTAATTTGTAATATTCTTAAAGTATTATTGTCGAATTAGATTTGGTATGATAAAAGTATTAAACTACAAGAGTAAATAATTTTACTTTGTAATTTATTAATTTTTTAACTCTATTTGTGTATGATATTTCCAGTCTATAATTTTTTTGTAACATGTTGCTATATAAATGATAAATTAAAAAAGTAATTTTTAGTTTCACCTGAATTTAACGATGGATTTTTACAATTATAATCAAATTTTTTAATACGCTCAATTGAGTAAATCTTTTTCACAACTTTTTTTTGATTGGTTCTTTTAGTTAAAGTAAATCAAAATTAATTAAGTTCTGAATATTTCAATTGCAGAATTTTTTTAAACACCAAAAGTTATTAGGAAATGATTACTATTATTTCTATTTCAGTTATCTATTACGATAAAAATGCAAAAAAATCGAATTTTTCTGATAAATGTACTGTAAATAGTAATTATAAAATTTCCTGATTGCATATTAATCTTAGAAAATTTCATTTTTTTCTATTTAATAATGTCAATTTGAAACTTACAAGTTGAACTATAAATTATAGTAACAAATTCATTTTTTTTAATTAAAACTTTCACTTTAAAAGAAAAAAAAAGTAGGTTCAAAATGATTACTTTCAACATATTAAAAATCAAAATCAATAATAATTTGAAAAGAATTAATTATAAAAATTATATAATATACAAGTAAAAGATTTACTTATCTGCAGTGCTCGAATTGGGAGGGGGGGTGCGCAGGGGGACGTAGCTCCTCTACTTTTTTTTAAATTTTTTTGCGCACCCCGACTACTTTTTTTTATTGTGACGGGAGGACGGTGGAAAATACCACCTATTTTTTTTTTTTAAATATTAGTATGATAATGAAATATGATTTATTAATAAACACTAAATAAAGTAATGAGTAAAAAAAAAAAAAAAGGTCTTCAAAATACTAGGGACGCAGTTTTCAAATTGTTAAGTTGAGCTCCCCTACTTATTTTTGGCCAATTCGAGCACTGCTTATCTGGATATAATTAAGGAAATAGAAGTTTATGTTGCTTTTGTAATTATCCATCAATTTCTTCGAATTAAACACTATCTACAGATTTTCATCAAAGCGTTTCTTATGATAGTGATTTTAATCACTGTCAGATTAAATCTATACTGGACCCAAGCCCCACCGCTGAACTGAGAAATTATTATAAGGTAAATTTAAATAACCATAAAAGGAAACATTAGTAAGCACAAATATTTATTTACATTATTTTTTCCTTAATTTTTTAAGTAATAGACGAGAATTGAAGTTATTATTTTTGTTAAATTTACAAATTTATATATATTTATTTATGCAAATCATATTTAACATTATTTTTTTATAATATAACACAAAATATAACTTAAATTATTTTTTGCTAAAAAAGCTTAAAATCCTATTTTAATCATCCAGTTGACATAGGCAAGCGGTTCCTCGGTTAATCCAATGATTTTCATGTTTGTCGGTTTTAAAATCAATATACATAACAAAATTTGTTGAGTGTCCTGTAGTTGAGAGCACGCCTCGCCGAGCACTTGTTTTATAAATAGGTGCATCATAAGAGTATTTTTTAATAAAATTCAACTAAAAATAACATTTATTCGGATTAATGTAATCAAATAATGAAAAATTAGGTTATTGATAAAAGAGTTAAAGATTTAATAAGTTTTATTGATTAATGAAAGGTAATTGATTGAAAATTATGTCCCTTATTTTGTTATTAAATATTGAATTTTTTTAAGTTTGTTATATTTAGCAATGATTTACAAACAATAATTTTATTTCACAGATTAATTACATTAAATCGATATTGATAAAACTTTTTCTTTAAAGCCTTTAATGCATATTATTATAACTTAACAATTAATGATAAAAGTTTAAAATTAAATAAATAATATATAATTAGTGTACTACAAAACATTAGAGAAAGTTAATTTAGAATATTGTAAAAGTTCATTAAAAAAATATTGAAACAAGAAAAAAAAAATATAACATAATCTATAAGTAGATGGAAATTTACAGGGGATTTCATCATAATACTTGAGATACAAAGAAGAAAGGTTGAAGAACCTTATATAGGCGTAAGAAAAGAGACGATTATAATTAGTATTATTTGTGAAAAGAATATTATTTGGAACTGGGAAAGTGGGAGATTGTAGAACCAAAGGTAGTCATGAGATAATTGTATGCCAAGAGATGATGAAAGTGCAGAAAATAATCTTGCCTCACGTTTATTATAGTCTGATGAAAGATAGTGAGAATATCGGGATGAGGAATGATTGGCTAAATGATTAACTAAATATTGAAAGGATAAAAATTCTCATTGCCAAAGATATCAACCTAACGAAAAATCATTTATATATTTAACAAAACAACTAAAAAATAAAGTAACGCGATTCTTACAAAAAAAAAAAAAGGTAATTTAAAAAGAATTAGTTATATTTTAATTAAGGAATATTTTTGTTTACCTTTATACCTGGCTTAAACCATATTATTGGTACAACATCATAAAGAATGTTGGGGAAACTTTCATTAAGCATACCTAATTCACGATCCCATCTAGCTCCTTCTAAAAATAAACCCTGAAAAAATTTGAAATTTTATTTCATTTAATGTTTTGTTTAGGTTGGTTTTAGAGTTTTTGTGAATAAGGGGTTTTAAAGACCTGATACGTTAATTAATAGCTAATATTTTTGCGTGGATATTGTAAGTATTTTATTAAATGCTAAGCCGAGATACTTGGTTTTGGTCATTTTAGGAATAGGAATGTTATTCATAAAAATTTGAGGAGAAATCTGTAGAATGAATGAATGAAGAGTAAACGTTATATAGTAGGATTTATTTTCGTTTAGTTTAACAAGCCACTTCTAGCACTAGTTAAACATTTAAATTAAGTGTGTTTGTAAGTGATTTGCAGTTGTAATATTATTTTTATGAATCGATATAAGTATTATACTTTATAATCTAAATAGTTCGGTATGTATGTATTTTCAGTTATTTGCTGGTCAGCAGTAGACAAGTAAGGGAGAGAGAAATTACATAACGCCAAATGACCGCGGGTGATGGGAACCAGTACAGCAAAAGGCCCATGATAACTCGCTAGTATAAACATACGTGCACGTACTAAAATTTAAGTTATTCTAAGATATGCAAAATTAAAGTATGTTACTGTAATTTTTGAGCTTTAAAACGCAAAGTATTATCATTCTATGGTAAGTTTTTCAACTTTCTCTCTTGAATATTCTGAAAGTACTAGTAAATACCCACAAACTCATAAAAAATCAATTTCTATTACAATATTTTTTGTTACTGATAAATTTCGGTAAAAATTACGTGAGAGGGAAAGATGACGAATGATTTTTATTTTGTTATCTTATACGACGTGTTTCTTTCATTATTTATACGTTTGTTTTATTTTAATAGTACTCCAAATTCTGTTAAATTTTTTATAATGATAACAATAATATTAATATTACTATTATTAATAGTATTATTAATATGATTATAAAAAAGTATAATATGATAGTGTAATAAATAGCAACTAATAAAATTTACAAATAAATCTATAATTTAAAATTGGTCGTAAATCAAAGGTTTTAAAAAGTTTTTTTGGAGTACAAATGAAGGAGTTGAAACAATACGTGATTGATATTGACAAAAGAACATATGGTCTAACACGAAAACAGTTTTCTCAATTATGTTATGACTATGCTGAAAAAATGGAGTTTAATACAGAAAAAAAACTGCTGGTAAAGGTTTTCTTAAATATTTTATGAAAGAATGTGAGCTAACATTACGAAAACCTGAGTCTACAGGTTCTATAGGTTCATCTAATCAGTTGCTAGACTCATGTCATTTAATCGAGTCAACGTTAGTAATTTTTTTAAGTTGCTTAGAGAAATCAGATTAAAATACTCATTCACAGCTGAACAAATCTACAACGTTGACGAGTCAGGATTTTCCACAGTGTCAACAAAAACACCAAAATTCATCAGCCCTAATGGTACTCGCCGAGTGATAAAAATTTAAAGCAGAAATTTGTTGCACCCCTACTCTTACGCAAAAACCTTCTGTTACTCCTCCCACACTTTTTACCCTGGTACAAGTACCACCATACATATTCTCTATTATTTTAATGTACTTTTTCGGGACTCCTTTTTTTATTAATGTGTACTTTAAATCCTCTCTCGGTATTCTATCATACGCTTTCTCCAAATCTTATAAATACCATACACAGCTTTTTCTTCTTTTTCCTAAACTTTTCTATTAGTTGCCTTACAAAATAATGGCTTCAATGTTGATTTACCCGGTATAAATCCAAATTGGTTTTTAGATACCGATGTCTCATTTATTATTCTCTTATCTATTACCTTTTCCCAAATTTTCACACTATAACTCATAAGCTTTATGCCTCTATAATCTACACACTCCTGTATGTCACCTTTACCTTTAAATATCGGCACCACAATACTATTCCTCCATTCATTTGGAATTTTTCCTTCTAATAAAATTTTATTTAAAAATTCCTCCAACCACCTTATGCCAACACCTCCTAAAATTTCCCACACTTCTACTGGCACTTTACCTGGTCCTGCTGCTTTATTTTTTTTCATTGATGCCACAGCCTCCCATATATTTTTCTCATTAATTGAATCTACCAGTCCCTCATTCCACCAGATATCCTCTAATGTCTCTTTTGGGTACTTCTCATTCAATAATTTTTCAAAATACTCTTTCCACCTTTTTTTCACATCGCCATCACTCGAGAGTACTTTATTATCATTACTTTTTATACACCTTATATAATGATAAGCTTTAGTCCTTTTCTCTCTTATTTTTGCAAGTATATAGATTTTTTTCTCGCCTTCCTTTATTTCTAGCCAATCATAAAACTCATCATACCTCTTTAACTTCGCCTTACTTACTGCACACTTGGCTTCTTTGCACAAGCGTTTATACTTCACCCAGTCTTCTCTCCTTTTGCTATTCTGTCATACATTGAATTGCTTTTTCTTACTTTCTATGATTTTTAGAACGTCTTCATCCCACCACCTGGTTTCCTTGTTTCCTGATATTCTACTCCTACTCTCACCAACAATCTCTTTTGCAATATTTTTAACACAACTAGCAAATCTATTCTACACATTATTAATGTCTCCTTCGACATTCCACATTGTCCTCTCTTTTACCGTCTTGACAAACTCTTTTTCATTTTCCCCTTTGTCCCTTCTGTTTTTGTATATTCTTTTCCCGGTACACCAAAACTCCATTACCATCAGTCTATGTTGTGTAGTTACACTTTTGCCTGGTATAACTTTACAATATTTTACTCGCTATACGCTCTTTCTCTTCCACATAAAATTATCAATATGTGATCTATTATTTATTTATTTATAAATTTAACAGGCTTAGCCCTTTTTACAAAATCAGGTTATTAAACAATTTTATAAAATAATATCAGTATAAATATAATTCACAACGATTCAATAGAATATTTGAAATAATATATATAAAAAAAAAAATTACCGTTTTAAAGTACAAAATAAGAAAAAGGAAGTGGTTAATAAGATAACATATGTGGGTCCATATTAGCACTATTTAAAATTCTTCTAATCGGCTCATTTTGTAAGTAATTTGTAGAACTAATTTGAACGAAGAAAGGAAATTGGGAACGAGAATTTCTCTGAGGAACTTTAAAATTAATTAACTGCAAAAGATACATTGAGTCAATACTACCATCCAGCAAATCGTTTAAAAATGTAATATCTGCAGCAAATCTGCTGTCTGCCAATGACGTCAAATTAAGTTTACTTGCCACTAGAGAATAATTATGAGGATCATGCTGGATAACAAAATAAATGCAGCATGCCTCAAAAATCTCCGTTGTACCCTTTCAATTTGATTATAAATAAGTATTAACCTCAGCAAGATCATACGATACTGAGAAATCCAGTATTCTTTCTCCAGCCTCATTCATCCCACTAAAACCATACCCTCCATGTACTCTTTCGTATTCACTCCTCTCATTATCTACATGTCCATTCATATTTCCACTTATCATCGCACTCTCATTACCAGGTACCTCTTGCATCACTTCATCCTTCTCTCTCTCTCCAAAACACTTCCTTGTCTATTTCATCACATCCTACTTGTGGTGCATATGCACTTATTACATTCAGCACTTTTTCTTCGAATATCAATTTTATGACCATAATTCTGTCACTTTTCCTAGCTACTTCTACTACTTTACTTTTTATCTCCTCGTCCATTATTATCCCTACACCATTCTCTGTACTAGACTTACATGAGTATATTATTTTATAACCCTCACCTATTTCCCTCAATTTCTCTCCTTTCCACTTAGTTTCCTGTACATAACAAATATTCACTTTTATCCTCTTCAATACTTCTCTTAATTCTCCACTTCTACCAGTTAATGTTCCAACATTCCAAGTACCTATTCTTAATTTGTATCTATCATTCTCCCATATACACCAGTCCAGCCTAGAATTAACTGATAATGTCCCTACACCGTTGACACTGCAAGCGTTGGGCAGACCTGTACACATGAATGGTGTAACAGCTACCGCAAAATTTGTGCGACTGGTATCAAACAATTTATTCCTTAGGCCTTTTCCGTTTTTAACTACTTTATTTCCTCTCACCTGTTGTCCCCGCGTACATTTGAGATGGGACAATTCGCATAAGTTTTTTTCAGGATACCTCATACTATTTGACAAAAATTTTTACGTCGGCTATCGACCTGACGCAACCTCATTAGTTGCCTCTTACGACTAGCAGAGGTGCCGCGGAAGTATTCTTATCCCTTATCCACAAGGAAAAGCACAGAAAAAGAAATTAAAACGTAAATTGGTTTTTCACAATAAATAATAACATAAACCAATTAAAAATTTGATTATTGCATTTAAAGTCTCTATTAATATTATTTTTTATGTTAATAAAGTCGAAATATTTTATGAAGTTTTTGTTTAAGTTTTGTTTTTGATACTTAATGTCTTAACATAATATGTTTTATGTTGATAAAAAATTATTTAAGTTATTTTTATGATTAATACTTATTTTTTATATCGTATTTATAATTTTATTTAATCTCAAGTATTGTTCGACGTCTTACCCCAATCCATTCGTTATCTTACCCCATAGGTAGGGATAGATGACGAAAATGACAATTTTCAACAAAACTCATATTTCACTCCTAAGAAGTTAAGAGGGGCGTTTGAAAAAATTTGTTGTGATAGGCTATATATAGAAGTAATTCTCATGTATATTTCAGAATTTATATCCATTTACAAAAGTCAGGAAAAATCGTAGAAGCTTTACCTCGTCATCTTACTCTGCTTTACACTAGGTGGTTTGTGTGTTAGATTTCAGAATATACAAGATATCAGAAAGTTTTCTGTTTAAAGTTAGGCAGTATGATGAATTAGGTGGGGAAGTAATTGTATATTTTTTGACGTTAGATAGATGATTCAAAGATATGCCTTTCCAGTTGTTAGTATTGAAGAATACAGTTAATATTTTTTTGCGTTTTTGTCTCCAAACTATGATAAGTTCTTATTGATGGAAAAATGTATGAATCAAACTTAATGTAAGAACAATTTGTATGACTGTATATAATGTGTTTGAAATTTGAAATAAGTATTGTATTTTATTGAGAATTTTACAATGATAGCAGTTCCTCCATTTGCTGTGTTCCTAAGATGATTAGTGTAAATAACGTGATAGCCAGGAAAGGTTATAATCGTATAACTATTAAAATGACTTCCTGATATAATCGGTAGGTCAATGTTTTGTTCCATTAGCGTCACTAAAAAATTGTTTTTACGTCTACAAAGACCGTAAAAGTTCCAATGAAGAATGAGGAAAGATTTTGCTGTTTTAATAATATTCATTATTTTTATTTTTTATAATAAGTGATTAAATAATGATTTAAGTGGGGATAGAAGCGGATTTACGATATTATTATTTTCGTATTAGTGATTTTAAGTAATTTAAAAAATTGATGAAGATTTTTGTCTAGTCTTAGGGGCAGAGTTTGTTAGGATATTAAGCATTATATGAACTTTAACAGTGTCATAATACTGCTTCTTTGCTGGCTCTCTTAGCCATAACGAGGTCACGTCAGGTAGAAAGCCAGTGTAAAAATCCTATCAAATCGTAAAGTGGATCCGACTACAAATGGTTCGTATAAAAGATAATGATGTTGATTAATTAACATATGTAGTTATTCTGATTCTATTTTTACTCAATTTCAATGGATTGGGAATCTAGCTCAATTTTAATTTTTCTTAATATTGTTGTTAATATAATGTGTATATATTATATAAACAATAATCTCATACATTATATTAAAAATAGATTAAATATACTACAAACACAAAAATATCTAAAAAAAAAAACGTTTTGTTAATAATGTATTAAGTGATCGATCAAACCTTTACAAAAACTCCTCTGTCCTCTTCATTATTTTTTTTCTTTGGATGTAGCGTGTAATAATAAATATATTCCATTTAGTTATGTAAATCATAATAAAATATATCTTTTTTAAATGACATTATTTATAAGATATGTAAACAATTTTAATTTAATTATATACTATATAATCTAATAAAATAATTTGATTATTTATTTTAGATAGGATAATCTAAAAGCCAAAAACATCATGAATGTAATACTCCGCGATCCTACCGTGCTGTTTTCTAACTTATTCAAATTAAAAATAATTAGTATTGCAGATGAAAATATTTTTGATGAGTAAAATAAATAGGTCATTGGGGGCAGTAGAATTTAGAACCCTGGTTAACACATTTTCTAAATGAAGCCGTTAGGATTGTCCGATAAAGAACTTGATTATGATATATTGATGATCTTGTATATTCTCTTTGAATAATAATTTTTTTTATGTTTTATAACAATATGTATATTGTTGAGTAAAATTTAATTATGTATTATATTACTTGGCAATACGTTCCCCAGCTCGGCTCATTCTCAACATTGATTTCGGACTCATATAATGTAACTTCAAACTCAAATCCAAGTTGGTCAATCGGTATTTTTTCTCTACGAGAAAAGTTTTGGAGTACACCGGATAAAAATGATTGTGTAAAATAAAATCCCGAAAGCCAAAAAACTTTTGGAATTCCATTGTCAAGCCAATTTTGAAAAAAACTCAATCTGTAAGTAATTTTTACATAAAAATGATTGATAAAAATATACTTTACCATCCACGGATAATAGACACCTTCAGTTCATTTATACCAATACCGTCAATCAGGGTGACTTAAAACGAATTAACATTTAAGCTACTCTGACAGATTCATTATAAATAGTTAACAAATTCTATAAAAAATAATATGTTGCAGCGTATATCAAAGGTATATGATTGAGCCAAAAAAATAAAATTAAATAAAGTAGATTGTATTTAAAATATTTGGAACAATAAATTTAAATAGGTATGAATTTAAAAGTTGAATAATAATTGTCTTTTTATACGCAAGTAGAAATTTTTAGTCAACAAAAATATAAATTATTATTTAGTAATTATATATATATATAAGTATATAGTGTTTAAAATATTTAAATTTATTAGTGTTTAGAAAANTAAAAAAAAATTATGTTGATTTGTTGATTTTTCAAAAAGTTATGGAAGTTTTAAGAAAAAAAAGTGAAAAAATTACGAAAATTAGCGATTTTTAAATTTGTAATTTTTTTGGATATTTCCCCCATTTGCGGGGAACGAGGGAATTTTTTTCAATTTTTAATGGTAATGTCTTCAACTAGATACGATTTGTGATCTTTTGACGTATTTTTGAAAGAAATCGGTCCTATGAGAGCTGAGAAAAAGTGGCAACAGACATAAAAAAAAAAAAAAACACATCATAGTAAAATTAATACCTTCTCCGCTTCGCATCGAAGCTAAAAAATTTCAAAAATAAACCTATTGCTATCGTGACCCAGCATAGTTTTCTGAAAGTGATTAAAAAATCAATAGGGTCAATTCATGCTAAATCATCCAAATGTGGTTGCACGACCAACTCAATTTCTTTTAATTTTCAGGGTTTCATCTATAAAAACATTAAAAATAGTCTAGATTTAGAAAAACACAAAGCATATTGTGCCACGGCCCCACTGTGCTAACATTATTTTATTTAAAATTTCAAAATAAAGTAAATTGCATTTAAAACATATAGAACAATAAATTTAAATAGGTATGATTTTTAAAGTTGAAAAACAACAAAAGTTGCAATCTTGAATCTCCCCCGTGGTCAGGTAAAGGGTCAGATTTTCAAAAATGTATACCATATGAAAGAAAACTACCACAGGTATTTACAAAAAAAATTGTTTTCATTGTTCATTTTTTAAAAAGTTATTGTAGTTTTAAGAAATAACTATTTAAAAAATATCGAAATTTACAGATTTTAAAAATAGCAATTTTTTAGAGGATTTTTTGCCATTTACAGGGAAGTATTGGGTGAAGTGGGGTAATTGTAAATTGAGGCAATTGTAAAAAAAAATTATACAATATAACGTTATCATTTTTTTTACATTTTATCACAACCGTATAAAGGTATATACGGTTATGATATTGTGTAATGGTTTAAATACGAACATTTGATATTATGTGATAGTAAAATTTATCTGTTAATAACACTCCTATTTTTTTCTGATTGTCAAATGACAGTACCCAATAACAATCTACTGCCAAACATTCAAAAATGTAAGTATTAAGTTCAACATTATTTTGTTGTCTTTCTTATTGGGTTTATAATACATTATTATTCACGATAATAGTGAAATACGTTCATATAAAACTATTTGATAATATTTACATTTCCTCCCAATAAATGTATCATGGGGTAAATGTAAATTTAAATTCGGGGCAATTGTAAAAATGATTTTACTATCATTTTTTACAGTTAAAACATATTTTAATTGGATGCTTTTTATGGTTAGGGTTCGTAATTATATAAAAAAGAGGCCAAGTGTTAAATACACCGTTGAAGATATTGAAGGGGCTGTAAATGCCGTTAAATTACGACGTTATACATATGCTCAAGCATCTGATGAGTATAAAGTGCCAAAATCAGTTATATTTCAAAGAATTAAAGGAAGAAAAACTTCGATGAACTGCCTGAAAGCTGGTCGCCGTAGTGCATTGACAATAGAGACTGAAAATGTTATTGAAAAATGTCTGTTAGCTAGATCACAAATGGGTCAACCATGTGATAAAGATGAGTTGAAAGATTTAGTATGTGAGTACATCAATGTAAACAATTTGAAAACCCCATTTAAAGATGGGAGACCAGATGATGACTGGTATTATTTATTCATGAAACGACACCCTTCATTAACTTTTAAAAAACCAGAACAGCTTCAAAAATTAAGGAAAGATGCTAGGAAGCCTGATATTATATACAATTTTTATGGTAAACTCGAAGAAGTGTACATAACAAATAATATAACCACTTTTGATGATGAATTTATATTTAATTGCGACGAAAGTGGATTTCTAACAGACCCATCAAAGTTAAAAGCAATTGGGGAAAAGGGTAAAACACTTAGTCGTGTGTCTGGCGGTTCTGGCAGAGAATCGATATCAGTTTTAGCCTGCATTTCTGCAAATGGTTCTTTCTTGCCTCCCTTTATTGTTTTCAAGGGTAGTGCTGTACAAGCACGTTGGACGTCTGAAAATGCTTATCCTGGAACTCTTTATTCATCATCTAAAAATGGTTGGATGGAAGAACCATTGTTTTTCAACTGGTTCGAGACTATGTTTGTTAGTAATATTGAAACATTAAGAATTTCAAAAAATAAACCCAACAAAACTGCTGTTTTATTATTTGATGGCCATTGTTCTCATATAAGTTTACGTATTTTAGAGTTGGCAATTGAAAAAAATATAGTTTTGGTAAAATTTCCCAGTCATCTTACTGACAGACTACAGCCATTGGACAAATGTGTTTTTGGGCCTTTAAAAACAGAGTGGAATAAATTATTGATCAAGTTTGGCAAGCAGATGGTAGGAAAAGGTATTGGTCAATTAACAAAGGGTAAATTTTCTGAAATTCTTGGAACACTTTGGTCGACATCCATGAAACATGAAAATATAGTGTCTGGATTTGTGTCAACTGATTTATTTCCTCATGATAAAACCAAATTTCCTGAGAGTGAATTTGATCCCATAGACTTAAAAAATTACTATAAAAATCTACAAAATTATAATTCCGAAGAAAATAACACAACATTTAATAATGAACATTATCTAGAAACAATCGACACAGTAAATCCAAATATAGAGGAGCCCACTCATTCTTCAGTCAACAAATCCTCAAGCATCTTCCTCAGATAATAAAATTGAAATTACTTCTTCTACTAGTTTTAGCCCTAGAGATATAGTAGGCATTTTTTCAAATCAACTTTTACAGTATAAACAACCTAACTCTACTACCACTGGTGTAGCTAAAACACCAACCCCAAGACTGAAGACTGCTAGGTATGGAGAAGTTTTAACAACATCAGAAGTATTAAATAGACTAAAAGAAGCTCAAGAAAAGAAAAATATGAAAAAGCCAGCTGGAAAACGTGGTAGGCCAAAAAAACCAATAGAACACAATGCAGTTACTACAGAAGAATCTTCTAGTGAAGAAGAACAGTGTAATTTATCTATCCCTTTAAATGATTTCAACGATGACCCACTTGACTTAGAAGAAGTAATGTACCAAAAACCTGAATGGTCTTTGATAAAACCAAAGGTATACATTTTGGTGGACTTCTTAGGTGGTCCTCGTAACAAGCACCATTATAAATATGTTTGTTGTGTTGTAAGTGTTGATGGTGATGATGGCGAAATTATAGTAAAAGGAATGAAAAAATAAAATGAAGAAGGAGAGGAGTTCTCAATTGTCGATGATGATATTTCTACTATTGATACAGATATGATCCAAGCAATACTTCCTATTCCTACTATGACAAAGAAAGGAAGGAAATTGATTTACAAATTTCCTGGCTTTGTCTCTGTAAACGAAAAGTGATTTTAGTTTTAAGATGTTATGTACTTAAATTATTAATAACCCACTTATCAAAAGACTGATGTAGAGTTAAGATTATCTATGTTGTTTTAGAGTTATTTGTTTATTTATGTTAAGATGTTATTTTCATTTTTTTTTACATTAAATTGTATAATTACCTATCCTAAAGACTGATGCAGAGATATAAGAATAAAGAAATTATGTAAAAATATTACATTTTGTTTTTTTTTACATTTGCCCCAAGCACTTTGTTATTTAAAATGGGTAAATATAAATATTATTTACAATTACCCCTAACACAGTACATGAAATGGGGCAATTGTAAATATGTGTTTAATTTACAATTGAGACTCGTAAAATGATCAGAGATCATTTAATTTCGTATTGCACCAGTTGTAATTGCATAATATTCAATAGCTTCAATTTTATTCATTTACAATTACCCCCAAAAATTGTTTAATAATTTTTTTATGGGGCAATTGTAAATATTGAATTAAAAATAATAAAAAAAGTATTTTTTGCATTTTTTTATATGATACCATATATTTTAAAAAGCTTATAATTGATATTCAGCACAAAAACAAAAAACAAATAAAAATTACGAAAAATGTTTAATTTTCTTTAAAAATATTGCATAATCTATTTACAATTACCCCACTTTACCCTAAGTTAATTTATATTATTATTAAATGTTGAGACTATGTAACATAAATAAATTATAATTAGATCCTTCAGTTCGAAAATTTACTGCTTTTAGTTGTGAAAGACATTCTTATCATTTTTGTGTTGTTCCATTTATATTAAATATATCCAATATCACTTTTGGTAAAGGCTTAGAAGGTGCTTTACATGCTTCTCCTAATCCTATGAATGACTTTCTTTTTAAAGATCAGATACATATTTATGTAGATAAAATTTTAATTGCTTCTAAGGCTTTTGATACTTGGAGAAATATTTTAATCTGGTATGAATTTAAAATTATATACATGTTCCTTTCTGAAAAATTAAATTTTACTCATTGAACTCTGCAATGAGTCCAAAACGTCAGAACTCAACTGTAAATATGGATAAATCCTTAAGGACTTCAAGCAAATAAAATTGTGTTCTTAGGTCACATCCTTACTGCTTGTAGTATGTACATGATTC